CCTCATCACTTGCTTAGGATTTCTCATTTTTTCTATTTTGGAAAATATCTCCATTCCCATATCCTTTTAACACCTTTTACATTCTCATTTTCTTTTTCTTTCTTTTTTTTTTTTTTTAATAATTATGAGACATAAGGGCATAAGTTCTTAATGAGTGACGTGGGAGGGCCCAGCCCACTGTGGGTGGTACCACCCCTGGCAGGTGGTCCTGGGTTGTTTAGAAAGCAGGCCCAGCACAGGTGAGGAGCGAGCCAAGCCAGTAACCAGCACTCCTCCACGGTCTCTGCTTCAGTTTCTGCCTCCATGTCCCTGCCCTGTTTGAGTTCCTACCATGGCCTCCCTTGATGATGGACTGATTGGGACACGTAAACCAAATAAACGCTTTCCTCCCCAGGTCTGTTTTAGTTAATGGAGCCTTTTTTTTTTTTTTTCCTTGGTCTTTTTTAGACAGTCTCCCTGTAGCCCCAGCCCAACTGGCCTCGAACTCACAGAGATCCACCAGCCCCTGCCTCTCAAGTAGTGGGATTAAGGACGTGTACCATCATGCCCAGCCAAGTTAATGTTTTATCACAGCAACAGAAAGCTAACTAGGACAGTAGGTATCAGCATTTAATGGGGACAGTTTCAAGTTTACAAAATGAAGCAGTATAGCAAGTCAGCGAGATGGCTTAGGGAGAAAAGGCGCTTGTGGTCAAGCCTGATAACCTGAGTTTGATCCCAGGAACCCACATAACTCCACAAACTGTCTTCTGACCTCTACATGCATGCCATGGCACATGCATGTGTGTATACACACAATAAAAAAATGTTTAAAAAGTTAAAGAGACAGATATATCTTATGGATCTACTTAACGATGAACTGTACACTTTAAAAGTTAAGATGGCCCAGACACAGTGGCACATGCCTTTAATCCCAGCACTCAGGAGGCAGAGGCAGGCGGATCAGCCTGGTCTACACAGTGAGTTCCAGGACAGCTGGGGCTACAGGGAGACCCTGTCTCAAAAAGACCAAAAAAAAAAAAAAGTAAGATGGTAGGTTTGTGTTATTTTACCACATTAAAAACCGTTTTAATCAGTTACATAAGTTAACACATAGTAGTTACAGTACAAATCCTAGACTGGACCTGTAACTCAATGTTAGTGCTTATCTCAAATATACAAAGTGCTGGATTCCATCCCCAGCACCACACCAAAAAAAAGAAAAAAGAAATTTTAATCTACCTTTGGGAACATTTTAACCATAAACAGGGAGGTCAGTGTGACAGATGACAAACAGAATCTAAGAGCTATAGGTTATAGAGACAGATTTTGGGAGGTGGGGACCAGGTATGTGGCTGCTTGGTGGGACAGCAAGAATCTTGAATCCAGAAGCCAAGAGAGCAGTGCAAGGAGAACAGGAAGCAGAAGATGCTGGGCAGCTCACATACTCACACGTGCCAACTTACTGGCTGGATGTGGCCTCAGAGCAGGACGTTACCAACAGGAATGAGCACGCTGACCAAAGGAAGATCAGCAACTAAGACTGTAAAGTCAGTGACGGCCAGAATGGTGCTATACTCGGGCCATGAAGGGAGGACTAAGTGACAGGGCCGGCATGGCGCTACACTCGGGCCATGGAGGGAGGACTAAGTGACAGGGCCGGCATGGCGCTACACTCGGGCCATGGAGGGAGGACTAAGTGACAGGGCCGGCATGGCGCTACACTCGGGCCATGGAGGGAGGACTAAGTGACAGGGCCGGCATGGCGCTACACTCGGGCCATGGAGGGAGGACTAAGTGACAGGGCCGGCATGGCGCTACACTCGGGCCATGGAGGGAGGACTAAGTGACAGGGCCGGCATGGCGCTACACTCGGGCCATGGAGGGAGGACTAAGTGACAGGGCCGGCATGGCGCTACACTCGGGCCATGGAGGGAGGACTAAGTGACAGGGCCGGCATGGCGCTACACTCGGGCCATGGAGGGAGGACTATGACGCCATCAGGGAGGACTGTGAGGTCAAGGCCAGTCTATGCTATACAGTGAGACCTTGGCTCAAAGCAACAAGACGGTGAAATAGCATGTCACACAGACCAGAGGGCCACACAAAGCCCTCTGAAGAGCAGTCAAAGTAAGTGCTGGCATTTGCATGTGCCAATCCACTGTAGCCCACAGTGCTGCCACATGAAAGGTGCAGAGAGATTCCACAGACCAAGAAACCCAGGAGAAAATGAATAAAAGATGTCAGCCTTTCACAGAAGGGACACAATCCATGTGAACTCTCCTAACTTCTTTGATACCAGGGCCATACCAGCTTTCATCACAACCACATACAAGTTCACAAGGCCAGCTGGAGCACCATCAGACAGGACCAGAGCGAGGGAACCGGCACCCTGTCCCAGGTGTGATACCAATACTGTAGAATACCCCTACAGCCTGAGCGATAGCACCCCACAGCCACCAGCATTTCAAACACACAGTCCAGATGTCCCAGGCTGCTCACAGCTGGTCACACAACGTAGTCTCCAAGTAGAAAGGAACAAAAGGCCTGACAGAATAGGGAGACCATGCTGAGGGCCATCACAGCCACTTCTCTGCAGTATCAGAAAAAACAGCAACAGCTATTCCAAAGGTGAGCAGTTTCCACAAAACACTGCCAGATGCCACACACAAATCACATGCCGCATAGACCCACTAACGCAATCCAAGATAGTCAAAGCCAGGGCTGGCTCTGGCTATACCAAAAGTAGCAGATGGCACACCAGCTGACAGATTCCCCCTTTACGAGAGGAGACAGGAGAATGCCTAGCCCTGGCAGCTGCCCTCTACCTGCACACTGGATGGGACAGGATGCTTCTCAACAGAAAAGATGTGTCAGGGACTGGCAGAGACAGCTTTCATTCTGGAGTTCGTAGACACGCCAAATACCTTGCATTCTAAAAGGTAAATGAATGAGTAATTCAAATAAATACCAAGCCCACCCTACTGTCTTCTCCATAAACTCACTCTGCTCAGCCGGGAGACAGCTAGGGAGACAGAAGTCTTGAACTCCTCGGGGTTCTTCTGGGCCAGTGTGGTGATGAGGCTGGTGGCAGCAGTCACTACACCCTGAAAGACAAAGACTCCAAGCTGGAGGCCCACAGGCACCACTTGTGACAGTACACATGGAGGTCCTGCAGTGCACGACCACTTGGCCCCAGGCCTGCCCTGACTGACCACAGGGTTTGCAAAACTGAGGCAGCACATACTGGCTGGCCCAAGTCCAGCTTCTCTTTGGAAACTGGGACGTCTAACCCAGCTTGGCCCAGGTCCCTAAAGGTAAGCCAGTATAGGGCAGCAGCTGGTAGAGCCTGCAGGCCTTTCTCTTGGTTCATCACCTGCGCACCTCTATTACCACCTGCTCTACCTGCCTCTGATCAAACCACCGTGTCCACTGCAGAGGGAGACAGGATCCTCAGACTCACCTGAATCTTCACAATCCTGCTATACTTGACTTGGATGGGTTCTAGGTCCAAGGCAGGAGATGGCTCTCCTGCAGTCTCTATACTTTGCCTGGGTTCAGTGGGAACAGCTCAGACCCCACTGCAGCATGGCAAACCACACAAGGTTTAGGACTGCCACTGTCCCGGATTAACAAACAGTTGTTCCCACACATATCTCAAGTGGTTTTGGTAAGTAAAATTTGGTAAGAAATTCTCTGACCTGGCCATGTGGGATGCCTGTCATCTCAGGACCTGGGAAGCTGAGGCAGAAAGATTGATACTTCAGGGCCAACCTGAGCTACTCTGCAAGATGCTGATTCAAAACATAAAATTAGGGGGCTGGAAAGAGGACTCAGTGGTTAAAGGAGCTTACTGCTCTTGCAGAGGACCCAGGTCCAGTTCCCAGCACCCACATGGCAACTCAGTCACCTGTTACTCCAATTCCAGGGTGTCCAATGCTCATGGGCTTCTGCACACACAGTACACACATATCCACATAGGCTTATACAAATACGCATAAAAAATAAAGACCTAAGTGTAGTAGTGCACACCTTTCATCTCAGAGCTCAGGAAACAGAGGCAGGCAGATCTCTATGAGATCCAGGCCAGCCTATTCTACGAAGCAAGTTCCAGGCCAGATAGGGCTATGGGGAAATTGTCTTTAAAAAAAAAAAAAAAATTTGCCAGGCGTGGTGGCGCACGCCTTTAATCCCAGCACTCAGGAGGCAGAGGCAGGAGGATCTCTGTGAGTTCAAGGCCAGCCTGGTCTCCATAGTGAGTTCCAGGACAGCTGGGGCTACAGGGAGACCCTGTCTCAAAAAAGACCAAAGAAAAAGAAAATTCAATCAATCTAAAATATAAATTCCATCAGATTGTCAGTCATTGCTAGGTTCCTGGTCGTTGGAGCTGGCCAAATTCACAAGAATTCAGCCACTCAGCTGTATGCAAACATCTGACTTGCTGGCCGTTGTAGCCTCTCCCGTATTACGGCTCACTCTCCTGTTTTCTGCAGCCTCACAGGGAGCTGAGAACAAGTATCACACTAGCGTGATGCTGGCACCCAGCCCTAAGTACCCTGTCCTCAGGTGGTTACAGGCCAAATCTGGCCTTTTGTTCCCTGCTCAAAGTTCTTCACCAGAGGGCAGCTCAATCCTCACAGCAACAAGCCTGCTCCACCCACCCCACCACCCTATGGACCCTCAGGGCCAGCTCCCCCCTCCCCACCAGCATAGCCCTGAACCAGTACTCCAGATCTCACCTGCAGGCCCTGCCCACACCTCCCCTGCCCCATCCACAAGCCTTGGGGTTGTATGGTACTCTCTCAAAGGGCAACACAGCTCACTCTGAGTAGGCCTCAGGCCCTCTGCAGAGGAAAAGCTGCACATGGGCTCAGAGTAGCTGAGAGGAAGCATGCTGGGCTGCTGAGGGCCTCTGGGTCTGGCTATGATGCCCTGACCATACCAACTTGGAGCTCAGTTTCTGTCACCTATAGACAGCTCAGTACACATTAGGTAAGATACTGGCAAAATTAAGTTGTATGTGTGAAGAAACAAAAGCTGGGGTCACAGAATCAGTTTCCCGTAAGAGGCCATGTCCTGGCACCAAAGGCCCAGCCTTGCTACCTAAAAATGACTTGGTGGCCATGACCAGGTGACTGGAAGAAGCTCCCTACAAGGCAACTGTATCATCCTGCAGAATTCCAGCAACACTCCAACTACCCACAGAAAGTGCTAGGGCAGCGCGAAGGCTGCTCACCGCCCATCGCAGCAGGTTCACGTCGCACACTTGCTGACACTGGTTCTCACAGCCTCTGAAAACCTGGCTCAAGCCTGACCCTGGCCATGAGAAACCACTCGATCTTTCTGAGCCTTTGTTTCCTCAGCTACAGAACTGGAACATTCCCACCGCTCAGAGCATCTAACTAACGGTACATCAGCAATCCTCTGACACAGAGGGCGACCTCTAACAACATCCTCTGACCCCTAGGTGGGACGCAAGCCTGCAGGGTCCAAGTTGTCTGCCCCAGTGCTCAAATAAAGCAGTACCCTCAGTTCCCCTCCCAGGCCCTCTGCCTTCTCCCTGCACCTCCACCTTGAGGCCCAGTCCAGCTCCCATCTCAACAAGCACAAACATCTCAATAGCTTGGATAGCTGTGAGTCCACAGCAGAATCCTAACGCAACATCCCCGTGCACTGTCCTCTGAACATATAGGCAACAATCTTGAATTTTCACAGCAGGTTTTTCCTGTGAGAAAAAAATTTAGTAGCCAGCAAACACACTCACCTGACCCCAGCCAGGTCATTACTCATTCTGCTCAGCGGTTCAGGCAACAGAGGTCATGGCCCACAGCCCTTTCCACCCAGCCAAGCAACCGCAGTCACAAAGTCACAGGCCTCTAGTCCTCATCTATAAACAAGGCAGTAAGACTTCACGCTTAGCCAGGAGGCAGAACGTCCCCATCAGAGCCCCACAGAGTGGCTTACAGGGAATCACTCTACATGGATGGAGTCCTGGGGAGTGCCTTGCTGCAGGAGGTGCTGGAAGCCCTGTGTGCCAAGCTGCAGAGGACACGGTGCACCACTGACCACCATCTGCAGAATCTCAAAAGGCTACTTCTACAATGCTCTTCTAAAAATGTCACTGGGGGTCAAGAGTGGACTTGAATCCAGAGACTTACCAAGTGCTGGTCATTGAGGAGGTGTACCACTCGGGACGTCCAGTCACCCATGGGAACGAGGTCAGGTGACGTCCTGTACAGGCGCAACAAGCAGAGGGCCGCACTCTGCTTCACACTGTCCATGGTGTCCCTGGAAAAGACATCAACAGTCAGGTGGGAGCATGATGATCTCCTCAAGGCCCCACATTCTGAGCCATGCAGAGTATGGTGCTGTGTGGGGAGCACGTCAGGGTCATCAGGGGACCAGCAGGTTGAGACAGCCTGGACAGTATCAATATGCCAGGCCCATACAAGTCGCTGAAAGGCCCAGTTCAGACAGGCCAGACCTACAGACAAAAGGCTTCACTGTCAGCAATCTGGCCTCCAAACACATCGATACTCATCTCCTCTGGGTACTGAACACACCCTACATTGTGTAGGCTGACCATGTCCACAGGGCTCCTCTGCGTGAACCAGAGCACTTTATTTTCAATACATTAATAGCTCTTCTAGCAGGAACAGGTCAGAGGGCCTGAACTGTCAGAGCGGTTTCTTCTCTTGCCTCCGAAATGCAGCCAGGCCATCCTCTGTCCACCCCTTACCCCGCTCCACCAACAGTTTCAAGTTCCCTTGTCCTGGTAAGGAAACAGGGCCTCTTTTTCTTTGGGTGGTTGTTATTGTAGCCTAGCTTGTCTCAAACTCATGATTCTATCTCAGTCTAATGAGTGCTAAGATTACAGGTATATGTCACCATGCCTAAATCTAACTAAAAAAATTTTTAATATTTTTATTTTTATTATATGAGTATATTGCCTGCATGAATATAAGAATGCCCGTGCCATGCAATGCCCTCGGAGGTCATAAGAGCCCATTGGATCCCCTGGAACTGGAGATGTTAGCTGCCTTATGAGTGCTGGGAATCTGGGAATTGAACCTGGGACCTCTCAAGAGCAGCTACTACTCTTAACCACTAAGCCATCTCTCCAGCCCCCTAACTGAAAATCTTAAGAGAAAACACATCTGTGTTCAGGCCCAGCCTGCAGCCTCATACCAGCATCTGCCTGCTCCCCTCACCAAACACACTTCCCACACAGCTGCTACCTTCTGTTCATACTGTGCGAGGGCCCAAGCTGGCCTCTGGTGTCTCCTCTTTCTCCTCCCCTACCAAGGCCACCCAGAGGCCAGAAGAACAAAAGCCACAGGTAGGTGTGGGCACCTAGCAGGTGGACAGTCAGTTTCTGTTCTGCTGAAGGTACATGAGCTCTGGGGCACCCCTCTACCCCACCAGATCCTGCCATGTAGTGGGGAAGACAACAGGCTGGCCAGGAGACATGAGCTGGAGGAGGCTGTCAGAAAACAGCTAGTAAGAACCAGTTGGGAGTCCTGGGAACTAGAGCTCCACTGGGGAAAAAGAAGGACTGGGCCCAGCTAAGCCCAATTTTTATTCCTAAATAAAGCAAAACTGATAGGAAAACCCTCTAAGGTGGCGCACGCCTTTAATCCCAGCACTCCGAAGGCAGAGGCTGGTGGATCTCTGTGAGTTCAAGGCCAGCCTGGTTTATATAGCAAGTTCCAGGCCAGCTGGGGCTACAGGGAGACCATCTCAAAAAGGCAAGAAAAGAATGCCTTAAGCCAGGCATGGTGGCACACCCTTTATCCCAGCACTCAGAAGAAGCAGGCAGAGCTCTGTGAGTTTGGGGCCAGCCTGTACTACATAGCAAGTTTCAAGCCAGCCAGGGCTCCACAGTTGAGACCTTGTCTCAAAAAAAATTACTTTGAATAATTCTGGTCTTGTGCGTGGTGCTGGAGATAAAACCTAGAGTCTCACACATACTAGATAAATGCTCTACCACTGAGCCTGCAGTCCAACCTAAAAAGTCCTTTTAGATACTCCATAGGCAGAGGAGGCCCATGCTCCCTCCTGGCCTCACATCACCTCCACAAGAGCCATGCCAGATGCCCTCACTGTGGGCTGAGCCTACAGGGTCTGTGCAGCACCAACCATCTCTCCACACATCAGTGAGTGGTCAGTTTGTCTCTACGCTTCCAACAAGGATGCTGCCATTCACCCTCATTCTCAGGATGATGTCAGCAAACACAGAGAAGAGCAAGCACCTGCCAGCCCAGAGGTAAGGACACAGCACCATCATATACCCACTGGGCCCAGAGCAGCTCCCAGCTGTCCAAGGTATTTTCTTTCTGATCCTCTACAGAGTCCTAGGGCACCAATGCCACCCTCTCCCTCCCCACATCCCCACGCTGACACAACTCCATCATGATGTCTTCTAAACTAACCTGCCAGTCTCCCAGTTCTAAGGGAGCATGCCATTCAGCATCGTGCAGTCATGGTGCCCAAACACTGTTCTGAGAATCGTCTACTGCTCAGTGGGGTTTCATTACTTGGTCACAGGGCACCATGGTAAGCTTTGGGAGAGATGGGACATGCCCACGAGCTGCAGCTTCAGGCCAGCATCCCCTAGCTGGCAGGTACTACCTGTGGATCTTTTCTCAGTGCTGGGCTTAGTGATCACGCTACATGTGCTGTTGCATATTTCAGGGAATAGTCCTGCCCCTCCAAGGGTTTATCAAGGATTTCCCCGGTCTGCATCTCCTCCAGTGGACCAGCCCTGTGGCAGTGCCAGAAGGCAGCAGCACGGAGACACCTGAGCCAGAGGTCCTCATGGAGCAGAGCAGGCAGCACTCAGGTATCCTGTCCATATTTTCTACAGCGGCCACTGGGGAAGAAGGTCACAGAGGCCTAGCTTGCAGCTCACACTGGAATCCTGCCCAATTTTCCTCGTCTCTGGTCTGACCGCTAATTCTTCTCTATCCTGACATCCATCTGATCGCCTGTTACCGCAGGCACCTGGTGTTCTGTGATTTCTATGGTCTGTGTACGATGGGCCTTATACTCCCTGCTACCCTTCAGCTCTATGACATTCCTCCTCATGCATCCTCTGTGGTCCACGGAGCTCCTACATTTCTGTATTTGCTTCTACAGGACAGTTCTACAGTCTCTCCAGCCTGGCTTCTCTACCCACCTGCATTCACACTGCTCATGGTCAAGGTGCTGGGCTGTCCCAAGGCTCCTGCACCATAGCACAGAGCATTTAGTAGCATCTTTGGCCCATGAGAGCATAGTAGTTAGTCCTCTACTATGATGATAGAAAAATGCCCTGAGACTTTGTTTAGTGGTTCCCCCACCCTGGGGCAATGGTTCAAATAGAGAACACTGGCTAGCTCTGGCCTCTGGGACCCCCCGAGCCATACTCTGGGCTCAAGAGCAGCCGAGAGTTGCAGCCACTGTTCCCAGGGCCTTGATATCCTGTCAGATTACTGAAAGTTGCCCTGTCAGGTTTCCTAGACTGTGTCGGATACAGGCACTATGTCAATGGGTTGGCTATACAATTCCACAAAGCACGTGAACAAGCAGGACCCAACCTTCCCTCTGCCAACCAAGGCCTGAGATGGCCCAACTCTGCTTCAAACTGCCCTTCCCTCAGTCCACTTGACAGCTCTCCAAATGAACCGAGGGGAGATGATGCAGAGTCCTCAGGATTCAGCGGCCTGGACCTCGTTCCAATGTTTCTTGGAAAGAACAAGACCCAGCTACGCCACTCTTGGAGAGAACTCTGCTTTTTCTCCCTGATGCCCACTCAAAGTTTGGATTTTTTTCTGAGGCTGGCAGGCTGAGGGCTTTCTTCTATGATCCACTCTTTTAAGTCTCAGGGAGAGAAATCTGACTGTGCCTCTGAGCTGTGAGCTTCCTGACCTGCTCACAGGCCACACCACACCTAACATCCCACTTACAGTCAGAGGGGTGTGTTCAGTAGGAGAGTACACTGCCTGTCAACAGCACCCAGATACATACCCCGCCACAAGGATCTTGGGAATCTCCCCAGCAAAGGCCTCGGCCATCTCACGGCTGCCAACATTGGCAATGCAGTGCAGGGCCAGGCCCATGAAGGTAGGGTTGCGACTGGCCAGGTCATTCTTGATGGCATTGTTGATCAAGCGGATCAGCTCACTGTTTGAGTTCACCAACACGGAGATGAAAAGGTAACCCTGTGAAGGCAGAGGGCAGAAGGCTCAAGACAAGACACCTGAAGCAGGGCACAGAAAAGTCTTGAGCGCCTCTGGCACCATCCCAGTGGGTGCCACAAAGACTCACCCCTGAGGGCTTCCCACATTCTGACAATGCAACAGTGAACAACATCATGGCTACCCCCAGTCCTGCTAGGACATGTACATAATCAGAGGCACTCGGAAACCACATCAATAGTCCTTCCCAAGCCTCACTCCTTCTCAGTAGGTCACACACCTGTGTCCAGATGCCATACCATCCACAGTTCAGGAAAGTGGGGACTGTCACTGCAAAGACCAAGCCCAGCCCCATTCACAAACAAACTCCACACATGTCCAAAAACCTAGCTGGCTGCTGTCCACTCCTCCTGTGTCACCACCATCTTCTCACTAGTGGAACCCAGATTCATACTACCACTCTGTCACCTCTGTCTGAGGAGGTGACAATGATAATCCAAACATGCAGAAGGTTAATAACCTTAACAAAAATCTCAACACATTTCTTAGTATTTCTTAATCTCTACAGGTTAAATTCTTAACCAAAAGAGAAATGTGTTACTGAAACAGAAACAACCTTATTATACTACACAGCTAAAATTTCAAGCCTGAGCCAAGCCCGAGCAGTGGACAAAGTGGGAACCCTACACTGGGACAGTGGAGGGGAGAGAAGGGACAGCAACCTCTGCAGCTTCACTTCTTGACCCCATGGGTACAAGTCCTGTTTCAGACAGAGCCATCTGAGAAGTGACTGGCTAACCTCACTAGAAGGTCAGGTGAAACGGAGGCACTGAGGCAGAGGTCTGAGAGCAAAGAAGGCATCCATCTAAGCCAGAGAGGAACAGGGAAAAAGGGCCGCCCCAAAGACCACCCTCGGTACCCCTGCTCCCTAGCAGCAAGGAACTAGGCTGGAAAGGCAGGCTGAAAGGTACTGGCCCCAGGCAGTGACACAGGACAGATGCACATGTGGCTGATCCCAACGTGAGACAGTGGAAGAAGAGTCTGCACACTGCACAGGGCACACAGCCCACCCTGTGGCCATACTCACAATCTGTTTTTCCGTGTATCTATTCGAGCTCAGCAGATTCACAGCTTCCATGTGGCCAAAGTCAATGTCGTGACCAAGGAGGAAGATGAAGAGCAACTTGCAGACATACTTCTTCTTACTGTAGCCATCGAGGGCCTTGTCACCTACAGAAAAGGTGGGGAGGGTTCATATCTAGTGGGTGAGGACAGGGAGGCCAAGAGCTGGGCAGCAAAGCAGCAAGGGGCAGCAAAGGCCTCTCAGAGGGCACAGGCCCCCAGCCAGGCATGCAGCCCCAGACACGGCAGCTCCAGACATGGCAGCACAGTGCCACGCCTGGTGATCAGTGGTCAGACCACAATCCAGAACACCTGGCAGTCAGTGCTCTGTGCTACTGCCCCCTCAACCTGCCTTGACCTCACAGAGGCCCCACAGGGATGGATCTGCAAGCCCTGCATGAACCATCAAGCTAATCCTTTAAATAAACTTATTGCCTTAGGCAGATACACTCATTCTAAATTATCTTCCATTTCACAACAGTTATGAACAAATCATCTAGCTATAAAACCTCTCTCTAGTCAGGCATGGTGGCACATGCCTTTAACCCCTTTAACCCCAGCACTCTGAAAGCAGAGGCAGGTGGATCTCTGAGTTCCAGGCCAATCTGGTCTACAGAGTGAGTTCCAGGCCACATGGGGCTAGAGGGAGACCCTAAGACCATAAAAAAGCAAAAACACTCTCCTCTCTCTGTCTCTTTCCCACCCACCCCAACACAGCCCAGAGACTTCTGCCCTGAATGTCCCATGGCATGACTAAACTCTTCCCTCCAGATCAACACAAGGCTCACCAGAGCACAACGTTCCAAGCGTCACCAACAGCCATCAGCACGGCTGTGCACTCCCCCAAGCATAGGACTATTCCTGAGTCAACCTCCAGGAGTGCAGAGGGGATGCTGAGCATCTGGTCTTCTAACTGGGCTGGGTCTTGTGGTGACAGTGAGTCAGTGTAAGGTATACAGGGTCTAAAGGGATGTGGCTGGGCAAGACCATCCCAGCCACACTGGCCCTCTGCGTGTTAAGGGCTGAGCAGTGGTACTCCATGAACAAGCTGGGTGACTATACAAGATGTCTGAACAGCACCCCACACAGTGAGTAAAGACCAACCAGCGGGTCTTATCTTACAGAGCTCGTGGGAACTTTCCTCCTTACCCAGAGAATACAACTGAAAAGTCCAAGCATGTGAGTCCTCGCCTGGCTCCAGCTCCCTCTCATCCTCAGCCCACCTGCTATCTGCCAAGGTGGTGTATGTGTGGCAGGAGCAGCAGGAGGGGGCTCCAGTGTGCCTCCTGCCTTCTAGCAGCCTCTTTGACAACCAGAGCCAAAAGTACTGCTCGCCCTGCTACTTCTGTGAAGACTCTGTCCGTCACTCAGCAAAGTGTTTACTAGGGGGGAGTAAAGAATGGCAAAGAAGCAAGAGCTCAACTGAACAGTTGGTGGGACAGCCACACTGCTGGCCTGAAGTCCAGAAAGTCCTCCTGGCTTCTGCTCCTCCAGGACATAGGCCCAGAGCCCTTTCTGTGGCTGTGAGGCAGGAGACTAGGTCAGTGTGTGCTCTCAGAAGCTAGGCCCCAAGGCAGGGCCTCGAGGAGAGAAGTGAGAGAAGCCTCAAGCCCACGGGGCTGGGCCAGGGCCAATACCCAACAGGCCATTTGAGGAACCAAGAGTCAGGAGAGTCGGGAACAGGAGCGTTGGGGACAAACTGGAGTTCCCAGTCCAACGGGGAAGCCAGGGCACGACTGGGAGCCACATCCCCAACAAGAGTTCTAGTGGAGACCCTGTGGCTACCACAGCTCTGAACCAAAAGGGGCAGGCCTTGGCTGGGGAGTGCTCTTGGCCGGCTCCTGCCCACAAGAGCAGCACAGAGTGGGCTCTTGACTCAGGCACCCCAATGGCCCCAGTCTTCCTTGTCATTGGACCCCGTGGCTCCGCTCTCTCGGTGGCCATCTTCCTTTCAGGGAACTACAGCTGCATTCCCCAGGGCTCCTCAGGTCGTCTGGACGACACTGTCACAGGCTGGGGTTTGGGAGCTTCTTCCAAGCTAGAGAGTACCCAGTCCTCTGCAGTCCCCATGTGACTTGCTGGGTGGAGTCCCCACACCTAGCACCAGATGGCCTACGCTGACAGAAGAAGGGGAAGCCGAGAACCCTTTGCACCAAATCAGCAGGTTCACTGAGGCTCAAGGGTAGTCTAGGCTAATCACTTTTTAAATAGTGCTTTAAAAGTTGGGTGTGGTGGCACACACCTATGATCCCAGACGGTGAGTTTCGAGGCCACCTTGGACCACATGAGGCTCTGCCCACCCCCAAAAGAAAATAGGAATCAGAATCAGAATCAGAATGATTCAATAAAGTGTTCTCACCAGAAAAAAAGAATGTGAGACAAGCCCATGAGAGCGGTTTGGTCCAGCCGTCACACACTGCACACAGAGAAACTCTGAGCACTCTATTTCTACTTGCCCCGGGTTTGATTTCTGCACTGTAAAAGTGGCCAATGAACTCAGAAGATATTTCTCCACTGAAGACATGCAACGGCAAACAGTGCACAGAAAGGTGCTGAGCATCACTTGGTACCAGGGAAGTGGCGAATCCTGAGATTCTACCTCAGCCCAGATTTCGACTGTTACTGAAAATCAGAAAATGACAAGCGTTGACAGAACCTGTGCACTTGCTGGTAGGAACGGAAAGTGATGCAGTCAGCAGGGAGACAGTAAAGCTGGTTCTTCAAAAGGTTACAAGTGGAATTACCAGGCTACAGAGGTGGCTCAGTGGTGCAAATCACTTGCCTAGCATGAGCCCCCAGGTTCTACCCTCGGCATCACCGAAAGAAAAAAAAAGAAAAAAGAAAATAAACAAACTAATAATAGAATTCTGTGCAATCCAGCAATTCCATTTCAAAGTACACACCCCCTAAGAATAGACAGGAAGCTGGGTACAGAGGCGCACACCTGAGGGTCCTAGCACTCAGCAGGTAGAAGTAGTAGGATCAGGAACTCAAGGCCAATCACAGCAACATGAAGAGTTCAAGGCCAGCCTGCACATAGCAAGACTCCGTCTCCAGAACAAGGAGAAAAAAAGACCAGGGAGATGGCTTGGTGAGTAAAAGCACTTGTAGCAGAGCCTGGCGACCTGGGTTCCATCCCCAGGACCCACATGGCAGAGGAAGAAAACCAACTTTTGCAGGCAGTCCTGACCACCACTATGGCACCCATGCACCACCCCAGTCACCCACCCCACCACACACACAGAGCATCACTTGGCACCAGGGAAGTGGTAGTCCAGGAACACACACAATAATAATAAATGTAATTTTTTTAAAACAGGAGAAAAGGGCTAGAGAAATGTCTCAGCAGTTAAGAACACTGGTTGTTCTTGCAGAAGACCCGGGTTCGAATCCCAGCACCCACATGGCAGCCAATAACTGTCCCTAACTCTGGTCCCAGGGGATCCCACAGCCTCTTCTGTCCTCCGCGGGCATTGCACAACATAGGTGCATTTATCTACATGCAGGCAATACATGCATACGCATAAAATAAAATAAATGAAATATTTTTAAACAGGAGAAAAAAGCTAGGTGGCACAAGCCTTTAATCCCAATGGGAGACAGAGGCAGGCAGATCTTAAGTTTCAGGTCAGCCAGGATTACAGAGAGACCCTATCTCAAAAAACAAAAAAGACAGAGAGTAGAATGGGGTGCCAGGGGGACAGGGAAGGGTAGAGCCAAGTACTTAGTGCAACAGTTTCAGGTTTGGTAAGATGCAAAACATTCTAATGTCTGGGACAGTGGTTACACAAAAGAAAGCATATACTCAACACTAACGGAACCTAAAACCCAAGGCCCAGAACACACCAGGCAAGTGCCATACCAGAGCCCTATAATGGTAAATCTTAAGTGATGTGTATTACGTCACAATGAAAAATGTTTAAGTGCACTCTAATGAGATAATGCAGTAATGCTTGTACCTTTTTGTTTGTACTGGTGATTAAACCCAGGGTTTCACACATTCTAGGCAAGGGTTCAACTACAGCCTTTTTCTTTTTCTTTCTGAGACAAGGGTTTGATTATATAGTGTAGGCTGACTTTGAACTCCCACCAATCCTGCCTCAGCCTCCTGAGTGCTGGGACTACAACGCTGGGGGCACCAAGCCTGGTCCAGTGCTGTTTTTAAAGGTCAAACATGAAATAAACCTGAAGATGCTAAGATCCAACTACAGGGGCCGGAGAGATGGCTCAGTGCTCTTCCAGAGGACTCAGTACCCTCCATATGGCAGCTCACAACCACCTGTACTGCCGGCCCTAGGGATCTGACACTTGTTTTCTGGCCTCCATGGGCACTACACACATGTAGCACACATTCAGACAGGAACACACACATTAAAAAGAAAAAAAAAAAATCCAGCTACAGTTATACCAACACCTATAGCCCTGGCTATCTGCTTACTTGTTTTTTTAAAACAAATGTATTTTTATTTACTATTTTTATTTTATGTGTTTGAATGTGTTGCCTGCATGTGTGGGGGTTGGTGGTGTGACGGACAGAAGCTGAAGCAATGCAGGACAGGACTAGGTCAGATGCTGCAAGACAATGAAGTGCATTCTTACAATCTTCTGCAAAATCAAAAACAAAGGTTAGTGAGCTTTTCAATAACCTAGTGTTGCAAATTAACAGAAAACTTCCAGCTTATGGGAAGGCCTGAGAGTCATCCTACCAGCTGCCCTAATATACAAACCCTCAGCCAGGCCTGAAGAATGCCTAATTCAACAGAGTAAGCATCCAACTTTCCTAAACCTACCAAAATCACGCTGGAAAGAGGGCTCAGTGGTTAAAACCTACAGTACGAACATGAAGACCAGAGTTCAGATCCCAGCACCCACGTAACAATCTGGGTGTCCAGCTCTAAGGAATTGAATGCCTTCTTCTGGTCTCTGCACATACACAGGTAGGCATGTACACACACACAATTAATAAATAAGTAAATAAATAAATAAGCAAATAAACCACTAACTTTTTTTTTCTCTGAGACAGGGTCTCTGGTAGTCAGGCTGATCTCAAACTCATTACACAGACCATCGATGACCTTGAATTTCTGGTCTCCCTGTCTTCAAGTACT